AAGAAACAGTACACTGAATTGTTAACAGTTGGCAGCACTCATATAGGAGGACTAGGTGTAAAATGTCTTCTACTTTTCTACATTTTGCAAATTATCATGGGCACTGAACTATTTTAAAATGAATTTTAAAGCCACAAAATACCATTCATTTTAATGTTAAGAAAGGGCTGCCCATTCCCTAATATCACCACTGACACTGTTCCTGTAATTACCCCAAGTTAGCTCTCAAGGGTATTGGTCCCCATGCTAAAGTCAAAGTTAGCTGAAGTATAACTAAGAAGCTGAAGGGTCTCTAGAAACTTCAAGGACAGGAGATCTGGGCCACAGATTAGTGAGAGGGTCTATATGTAAATCTAAGTTTACTGCAGGCCATTAACTTCTGGTAAAAAGGCTATTACAGTGCACACTGTAAATGCTATGCTGCCTAGGGATGTGGTATATTTTGTGTCGGCATTTATGTGTACAGAGTTAGGCAGATGCCACCTCGGGGACAGAAAGAAGAGTGAAAGAAAGAGATTAGTTAGAAAACTGATTTCCCTTTCATGGAGAGAAGGTGTTTTTACCCTCAGACTTCCCTAGTAGCTGCCCCTTCTACAGTTGCCCACCTGTGTGTTCAGTCCCTTCAGCCTTCCTCCTAAATTGTATAGCAACAGAGGAGAGATCAGCACTGTATCCACGGCAGGTTTGCCTAATGCTCAGAGGCAAAGCTGCTCTGCAAGAAGGCTGCCGGTGAGGTGTCAGAATATTCCGTGCCAAAAGCTCACACTCTGGCCAGTTGACTGTAGCCTAAAGCGACGCAGGACCACAGAATTCTGCCTCTCCCCATGCCGTCCTGGAACTGTCCCCGCTATGTTCAGCTTCTCATACAGGACCATGCCCATAATAAGAACTATTGTCGTTTGCACGTATATGTTTCCACATATACTATTTCATAAGAGATAAAGGAGCAAATGTATCACAAAGTTAGCGTTATCATCCTGTAAGTAGCCTGCAGCAGAGCTTTCAGGGACAGTGCACATCATCCCTTAACTGATGAAAGAACCAGCAGTGAAAATTATGGGCAGCTGCAAGAAAAGTTCAGTTAATTATGAAAGCTGCTTCTCTGTCACTTGTCTGGATGACTGAAAGACTTCACCAGTCACAAGAAGAAACAAAGGCAGGGAGACAGGACATGATGGAAAGAAAGAGTGGTCACTTCATAAAGAGGAACTAGCTTTGATGTGCTTAGTAACATGTTAATAGTATTTTAAAACAGTTAACTAACAATGACTTTGTGGACATTACTAACACTACTTGCTGTGGTCATTGTAATAACCTGGCATTAGCTTGAACTATGGGAAACTGCTGATATGCAAATGTTTTTGACTACCTAACAAAAGTGACTTCACACATTTCAATCGACTTGATATATCCCAGTTTCCAGCCTTGTTGCCTATAAGCCCTTCTTCCACATTAGAAAGCAATTAGCTTGGTAGGAAAATTCCTTTGTACAATTTCCAAATAACAACTTAAAGCTATTCCTGACTTGGATCATAAATTCAGATTACTAATTGTAGAAAAGACTTTAATTTGTAGGTATGCTTATTTGTAAAAAATCCTGATTATAAAATAAGAAGAGTCATATAGCAATCAGACTTCAGGAACAGGAAGGAAAATTTTTTTCTGCCAGGACTGAGGGACGGTGGTCATAATAACACTATTTATTCTTTTCATAATAAATATGTCAAACCAAGAGAACAAAAATTACATCTCAAAGAGAATGTGCTACTGAACCCAAGGTTTGTGTGCTCAATGCTTCAAAAGGCCCAAACTCAAAATATCAGTTTGGAGTAAGGAAATGTTGGTCGATTGAGAAGCTACCAACTGAGAAAATAGACCTAATGCTGCCTCAAATCCATTTTGCTTGCTCAACTAGTTTAGGGTTTATAAGGGGTTAGGGGAACACCTATGTGGAAGAGCTGGTGGGGCAAGTTTTTTAATTGGAGAACTTTGGAACTTGGCCATTTATTGTAAGGGGTGTCAGCACTGGACCTTCTGGGACAATGGACCCTTCATTTTCTGAAAGGGTTCCAGTGTTCAAGTTCCAGTTATGCCTTGGTCTTGTGGTTTCTTTCGTATGTGTGGGGTGGGGGAGCAAGACTTGGTTCTAGGTGCAGTTGGAGGTGAAAGGTCTCACCACGGTGCATGCTTTGGCTGCGTAACATGCAGTTTTGGTCTACTGTTTCTGAAAAGCAACCCAATATCTTGTTAAACAGGATAGAATCATTGTGAGCTGGTTCTGTGGTCACAAATGTTGGTAGAAAGAGGGAAGGAAATAAAAATCTACTAAGTCGACTCATGTGGCTAACAAAGCACATTGCCAATGACTGGCTGGAGCTCGTGATACAAGACCCAGGGTGCTCCTGTGTCAAAGATTCTCCTTCTTCAAGACCCCTGACTTAACATCCGTTGGAAAATTATCATAATATTCTCATTTTATTAGAACAAGACGTTGCCAACATCCTCAAGAAAACTGTCTTAGTAAATATACAAATCCAATGTGAACAACACTCCCTGAAGTTATTCAGTACACAATCGGGGTGGCCTGGTATGTGACCTACAAAGAGGTGAGTCTTGGTTTTCCTAGTTTACCATTCTGTCCGGAAAACAGAGATACAAACTTCTCAATTAAATCGAACACTTCTTTACCAACAAAATCTTTGAGAGATTCTGAACAAACCATTAATGGAAGACAAGACTAAGGCTGGTTCAAATCCCTGCATTTGTTATTTTACTAGCAGTGTAGTCTTGGTCAAGTCATTTTACTCTTCCAAATGTCTGAAAAGTATGATTAATACCACCTCCAAATGTGTTGTGCAGATTAAATGATGGAATTTATGTTAGAGCATTAAGCACAGTGACTGGCATAAATTTGAATTAAAAGCTCAACAAACGAGAGCTACTATTGGTTCCTGAAGAAAGTGGTCACATATCACAACCTCAGTTGGAACACTGAGTCATAGCTGGGTCAGAGACCAGTACTTCAGGAAGTAACAGCACCAGGCAAGGCACGCAAGGCATAGGAGTCCTAATATTCTTTTCTCTTGCCTCAAGAGCCCTAGACAACGCTTGTATCCACTTAACTTTTCTATTCTTTAGTAACCCCAGATAAAGAAAAGGAAGAAAAAATACTGCAAAAATATTTTACAGGGGACTGAGAAGTCAAAAGAATGACTATAAATCCAAAGCATGAGTACAAAAACATGAGAAATAAAAGGCAGTGTCAAATGTTAAGAAACTTTTACCCATCAGATGGGAAAAGGATGCAAAACAACTTACAAAAATACTAGCATTGGTGTAAATGTCCTTTATGTTACCAGTTTGGAGCTGAGACTCAGGTGTTTATGCTTCATATAGCATTCATAAGTCATTTCACCTCATTTGTAATAAATCAAATCTAGCATCAAAGTCTCAAAAAGGATGTTTAATAAGCACGAAGTACGCATAGACTAAAAAAGATTCAAATGCACTTTACAAGTATAAAATAGATAATAAAACCCAACAAACCAACATCTAAAAGGTTAATACAAAACCGCAAATCAAATATTAAATTTTAAGTTCAGTTGAAGTTAAGTTCAGTCATTCACTTCTCTTAAAACAGTATATATGAAAAGCAGGGGTTAGTTTAATTTAGGCTTCTCAGTGGACAAGTGGAGTGATCTAGAACTGTCGAAGTGAGCCCACAGTTTAACAAAGATGACACACACTTATTTTTGCGCCTTGCATCTTTCTGCATACCATTTCACTCACTACATTCTCTACAGCCACATTTTCTCCACCCACACTAAGGAAAAGAAACAAACACACTATTTTCATTATTCCTGTTTGAAAAAAACATATGGAAACAATAATACTATAGACATATGTACATCATAATAGGAAGCAATCCTATCTTAATGTAATTTTAAAAGTTATATAGACTCACGTTATTAAAACTACTCATTTGAAGCTTGCAAATAAAGCAGCCACGTATCTAATTTATTTAGCAGATTCACATCGTTGGCTAGGCCTTTAGAGATTACTTCTCTTATTGATGTGCCAAGTAATTAGGAGGCTAATTCTCATTTATCAAAAAAAGGATTTATATAAGTAAATCTGCCCCACATTAGAGGGTAACAGGCTTAATTTAGCCACATTTAATCAGTTTCCTTTTCCTTCTCACGTCTTTATTTTTTATTTTGTTTGTTGGCAGAAGAGAACAACTGGATTAAAACTGGTTCTAAAGTTTTATTTTTATACTTGACCTTGAAAGTACAGTACAAAACATTTAAGTTCTTTAATAAATATTTTCCCTGCCAAATAAACGAATTAGTTTTAACTATATTCATTAAAACACAGGTAAGCAGAAATGAGGAACGAGGAGGTTCTTTAAGGAGAAACACTGAAAAAATAAAATTTCATCTGGCCTTCCCATCATCACTTGAAGAATTGTTTGGTAGTTACATCATCAGGAAATAAAATACTATCCTCTGAGGACCCCTACTCTTTACAAAGAGGAAAGAGAAGGTTTGAAGTCTAAATCGCCCCCAGAGATCTCTGGGGTGGGCGGGGGAAGGCTCTGGCTTCCCTCTCCCTTCTCCCCCCAGCAACCAAAAAACAAACGTAACAAAAACCTATTTACAAAAGTTTAAATAAGAATAACAGGATGTGTATTTAAGAATCCGAAGCAATAACAGAAGCTTTAGAGTCCCAGAGGGGAAAAAGTTACAAGCGAATCGACCATGACCCCCAATGACTTGGTTTGCCTGGCAGGAGGGCGTCGGCGTCCCCGGCCCGCCGCCCATGGCTCTCTGCGGGGAGCCTGGGACCCAAGGTCGGTTCACACGGTCTGAGCGTCGGCGGAGCCAAGGCGCGCTGCTGCGCCGCCGCCGCCGCGGGTCTGGCTGTCACCGGCGCCCCCGCCGCCCGCGCCGCACACGCGGAGCGCCTTATAAGGCAGCGCAGTGACGTAACGCCCATAGGCCGGGCGCGCTCCGCGCCCCGCTCGCATTGTTCGGGCGACTCCCGGAGCGCGCACAGCCCGCTCGCAGCGCAGCGCGACTGCGGCCCCCGTCCGGCCCCGCGCCGGCAGCCCAGGTAAGCTCGGGAAAGCCGCTCTACTCCAGCAAGGGGCACTGCTGTCAGAGAGCCATGTAGTCAGTCTGTAGGTGGCTTTTAAAGTTATCAGCATCATGAACTGCAGACAGGTTTTAAAAAGCGCGTCCAATGAACTCTAGGTTCAAAACCTTTTCCAACTCCTACAAAACTTGTAAGTAAAAGTTTTCTTCCCCGGAGAAAACGGATTTGGGATTTTATTTTAAATGTTGAGAGGTAGGGGTTGACTCGCGTATTGCATACGCTTTCTTTCCAAATGAGCTACCCACTGAATCCTGCCTGTTATTAAGAAATCTTTGGGGAAAGGGTGAGGGGAGTATATCGTAATACAACAACTCTATCTCATGATCTCTCTCGAACCAAAACTCCTTTAAGAGCAGAGTGCGAAACACTGCCACATGGTAGTGGATTTGTTAATGACCACCTCCCCACCCCCTAATCCGCCTTTTGTAAGTCTTCATATGAAAGACTAGAAAACTGTTAGGAATACATCTTGTAATCAGGATGACTCTAACTTAAAAAGTAAAACACTTTTTAAGCTTCAAAAAAATCTTACAAACGCTATTCTGTCTTAAAAGTATATGTCAATTTGTACAAGGAAGTAACTATCACGGTTTTGAGTTAACTTTTTACTTCAACTCCAGTCAGTGGATAGACGACAAAATACACTGAAACTTAAAGGTTAAGCTAGTTTCTCTAGAGTTATATTTTGGACAATAGTTTATGTTTTTTCAAATTAGTATTTATGTACAAATACTAATTTAAAAGGTAAAGCCTATAGAAGAATTTTGTTAATCACTGGCATTTTGAATCATACTTAGTTATTACATCTAAATCCTGAACAGGCTATTATTATAAATGAATCCTTACAGTATGAACACCTGGTAAATGCTGAAAATCTACATAGTTTAATTTTCAAAATAAAAATCAGCAGAGGAATTAAAAATAAAATATGCTGGGTCAAGTTTAAAACACTGGAATAGAAGATGAAACACTGATTTATCACTCAAACTTTATTTGGTCTGAACATATATGTAAAACAGAACTTAAGAAATGTGTGACAGAATTATTTCCCTTTTTAAATACTCTGTGTATCACTTGAAACATAACATTTGTATATGCTTAAAATTTGGGATATATCTGTGTTTCTAGTAATTGCTGTGGTTGAGTTTTTTAAAGTATATGACATGGTGCCTACCATTTTATCTTCATAGTAGTTTTGTTTTGTTTGCTAATTTTGTTTAGCGCAATACAAGACTTTGGTTGTAGTATTCTAAAAGCAAAATTATATGTTACTTGGCCTGAAGATAGACTATATAAATTGCATGTTAGTACCAAGAATAGGATTTCCCTAAAACTATTATTTCAAATCTAGGGAAGCCTACCTTAATAAGAAAAAGTGGGGCCAACACCCAGGTCACTGTAGAGAAGTATGGAATATGCAATAAAAAAGTTGTTTATTTGATATAGGCTGTAATTGGAAACTAAAAAATTCCTGCCTTGGGTAAAAGGTATTCCACTCTTTTGAATCTAATAGAGGAGGCGGGAAACAGAAACTATCAATTATTGTTTCAGCTATGTCCAAAGTACCATCCGTACCATAAACTATAACTCAACTGTTGAAAATCATAACCTCTATCGAAGCTCTAACAGCTGTTTCCCAGAGTCTGCATTTTTTTAAAACAGGCAATCATCGATTAAAAAAAATTTTTTTTAAATGACAGACTTCAATATTCCACACTTTTTCCCATTTATTAACTTACAAGCATGTTCAAGTAATAATCACCCATCAAGACCCCTTTTAAAACTCAAATAAGATTTATTGTGGATACATAATCTCACAGTGGCTCTCTGAGTGAGCATTTCTTAGTCTTTGGGACAAACTACATTATGGAAAAAAATATTAGAATGAATGTGAATTTTTACATTTCCAAATAAAGCATATATTAATTTTATGTTTAATTAAATTCATTTGCCTTTTTATGGTGATTAACTGTTAAGCCACTGGTATTTTTGTGATATTTTCCTAATGTTGTGATGGAGTCAGTAGTAACAGCCAATATAAAAACACAAATCAAGCTTTGAGCTTCTTAATTTTCAAGTATATTTGTAATTCTCATTAATTTGCTTTCTCAAAAGGCTATAAATTTTGTTTTAGGGGGTTTTGCTGCCCCTTCCCCTTCCAGAAAAAGTTCCTTTGGTAATAAATGGATTTTGAGGTAAAATAAAAATGGAGAAGGAAGAGTAAAATTCCATTAATTCTTCTTAGGTCATGTTCTTTCTGGTGCTTCAGGGCAAAGCGAATGCTTTTACAAGGTGAATAGAGGAAAAAAAAGCCTCCTATTTAAGGGAAAAAGGAGGTGGGGGCAGGGAGAGAACTGTTTATAAAAGACTGGATATTGTGGAGCAATAATGAGAAGATGTAAAGAAATATTGGTTTCAACCTGCTTCAGAAACTGAACTCTGTTGTTCATATAGCCAGTCATGATCTTTGAAAATTCTAACATATCTTACCTATCCTCTTGGGCCTATTATTAATTTTAAATGTTTTTAGAGTTTAGCATGTGTTTGACTATGGATTTAGCTTTAATTTAAACTGGTTGTTTAGTTTCTGTAAATTACGTTTAAATGGGGATTTAGAGATGAAGAGACACTGTATATGCAGCCAGCATCACAAACTTTCAAAGAAATATTTCTGCGACTGCTTCTGTCACCATTACAATATTTCTGGGCCACAAACCCAACCCTATGCTTAATGTGTGCTACAAAGACTTTAGGACCTCCCCTCACTGGTCAGTTTCAACTTGCAATGTTAGGTGCTCTAATTCCTAGCAAATCATCACCAATAGTGTTGTAAATTCTCCCACATCTCTCTTTTTCTTAAAAACAGAGTTGAGATTCTCCCTGGACTGCACTAACATTATCTCCGACTAGGAAAGAAAGTTGGGCAAACAAAAGTCAGAAGGCTCACCAAGGAAAGTCCCTTGGTTCTTTTTCAGATATAGGGGAAACACTCCCTTTTCATGGCTATTCTCTCAGATGCTTTAGCAGAATAAGATAGGACAGAGCAGTTTTAATTCTGAGTCTCAGAACAGAGAATAACACATTAGCAGTGTTCTTTCTCCAATGTGACCGTCCTCACATTCCTAATGCCCTACTGGTTCCAAAATAAGATTAAATCTTCAAGATACGATTATTATTTTTTATAACAAGCTTGCAGAATGATATATTTGTGTGTTGAGGGGGAGTAAGGAGGTATGTAGAGGAATAGGTAAGTAAGTGTATTATTGGGATAAGTAAGGGTGCAAACAAACATACACCCAACTCCTTGTTTCTGTTTATGATAAATACTGATTCTACCCTAAAAGACGATTATCAGTAAAAGACAGCATATATTACATCAGAATAGCAAACACTCAACTTCACAGATATGAGTTTAAGAAATTCCTTGATAAGTTCTTCTGTATGAACGATGGGATGCCCCAGGCCCTAGAAAGTGTACACACAAGTTCGTGTGTGTGCACACACACACCCTGGTAGGAAATGTTCACAGAACTTTACAGCTGGAAGAGACCTTGAAGGCCATCTGGTCCAAATGCCTCACCTTACAGAAGATGTTTATGCCCACTGTATGACTTGCTTTAGAGACACAGAGCTACTCAGGGGCAGAGCCAGGGCCCCCTAAATTTTTGGGTTACAGGCTTTGGTTTTTCCTTAAATTAGTGGTAGGAAGAAGCCCCACAGGAAGTCTTGACACCATAAGTGTTCATTTGGATATAAAACCCATTAAAAAAAAGAAAGTAAAAGGTGTGCAGTCTTCTTAATAAGTATAGGCAGCAAGAAAGCAGAGGGAAAGGAGGGAGGTGAAATCAATACAGTTCAACCCAGCTACAACAATGGAAAGGAGGTGATAAGAGAGAGACAGAGAAAATAATAAATGTACTTAAAATGTTCTCTGGGTGAGAAACTTACTCTCTGCTGTGAAGCTGAGAAGAGCCCTGGAAAGAATATGTGCTCTATAGTCAGATATTTATGCCTGAACCACTAACTTGACAAGTGACCTCTTCTCCGCATCTTCCACCTGAACATTTTGCACTCCCCAGACTTTACCAACTAGCAAATTCCCTTTCAAATCTTAAAGTAACGCCATACCTTTAAAGTAACCTCCACTAAAACAGCAGAGGAAGTTACCAATGAAAGTTGTAAGCTCCTGATGATACTTACTTACCCTGCTTCACTTTCCTTCACACCATGCACTGCTACATGACATCAAATTACACATTAATTGCTTGTTTATTGTCTGTCTCCTGGACTGTACACTCCTTGAGGGTCAAGTGTTCAACCAATTTATCCCTAGTACGTGGAAAGGTACCCTAGCTATAGTCAGGATGTTGGATAAATGTACAAACAAATAAATTACAACCTAGAAACTTCTTATTTAGAAAAGAGAATTTCTGAAAACAGTGGGCTAGGAAGGGCCTCTTCTAGATTTTGTTAAAGAGCCCGAAACAAATCTCTCCCACTCTTTGAAGTAACCACATAGAATTGACTTACAAACACAAAAACCAGAAAACAAATTAGGTTCAGATGAAGTCCAGGAATGAAATCTGCTTTATACCGTAAAGTATCTGTTGTGTCGGCAGACTGTCAGATGCTTCTCTCTGCTCTCTGCCTACCTCTACCTACCTTACTTTAACTTCCTCCCAAATAATGAGAATAAAGGTGGTGAAAGAGTACCAGGTGAATCGCTCTGGGGCATGAAATAGACTTGAAGCAAAATATGAAAGAGTAGAATATAGTAGTTTTGTCTTTAATGAAAGGTAGATTCCTCTGTTTTTCCCTAATCTCTATGCCTCAGCTGAAGGCCTGGAAGATGCAGTCATTGGGTTCAAAACAGCTTGTCTTTACAGTAACCAGAAGCCAGCAGACTGCCTTTTCCCAAGTATACACTTTGATTCCAAAGTCTTTATGGATAGTCCAGT